AGAGAGAGAGAGAGAGAGAGAGAGAGAGAGAGAGAGAGAGAGAGAGATTAATTTATCATTTTTAAAATAAAAATTAAATTATAAATACTTATTCATATCAAAGTTGAATAACTCCTGAATCGTAACACCAATGCTATACATATCGGCTTTTGTATCGTATGTATGGCCGTCCATAACCTCCAGCGCCATAAACTTAACACTAGCCACACGTGGTGAGTGACCATGCTCATTTTCGCTATGATTCACAGCTAGTTCAAAGCCACTCAATCTTACAAAACGGCACCCATTGGAACCGACTACCGGTGCGATCATAATGTTTGTGGGCTTAATGTTACGGTGAATAACGGGTGGATGTCTTGTATGCAAATAGTGTACGCATTCAATGAGTTCCAGCAGTAGTTCAGATGCCATATAGAAACCCAGGGGTGGGAACAGGCGTTTGGGACGTACGCCGAAATAGTCACGCGCTTTGCCGAGTGCTGTCTTCAATGATAGTGAACACCAATCTATTAGTGTGTTTAGGGTTAGCGTACGTCCCGGTGCTGTGTCACTGATTTCGTGGGTAAACCAGTGCTGTCTGTATTGAAGATAATAAGTACGATCTAATTGTGACCATAAGCGAATTTCGGCCAATTTTTGTTTGAAATTGTCTTCATTTTAGTAAATTGATTAAATAAATAAAATAATTAATTAATTTTTTACTCTTTGTTACTGCCATAGTCCATAAATATATAGTTTTTCAATTCTATTTAATTAATTGTTGTTATATAATATTCATAACAGTTTTAATAAATGCAGATTTCTTTTTTTTATTAGTCTATATTTGTTTATTAAAATTGTTAATAAACTAAATAATCTACAACCGGCACTGAATGTACCCAGGTATATTCAATGCATTGAATTTACATAGAGTTTTAGTTGGAATTATTAGTAATTGCCGGTTACTGTAAATAATTATTTCTACACTTAATTAAAAATTTATATTAATAAATATTAATGATAATTTATTTCACATGGAGGTTTACAGCCCAAAATATAGTATTTATTATTAAGTCTCTACTATTAATATTCTAATATGGTAAAAATTATAGTTTTAAATTTATTTTAAGTTTTAAGACAATAGTACCACATACCTGTTATTGTACATATTTTAACAGCGTATAACTTATTTAATACGGCATGCTTAACCTTATACACTTTGCCCCAATGACCATTGCCAATTAACCCAATGATATCAAAATTTTGACCAATCTTATTTCCATTAACAGCTGATATATTATTTATATCAATATTATTTTTCAATACTATTTGTCCATTTGTGGTCAGGGGGTGTGTAGTTGTGTCAAAGATCATGATATTTATCATTTGTGTCAGTATGTATTCATGTATACAATCGTCCACTAAAATATCTACCGGTCTGTTATGATGAATACCATTATTGTCACCGTTATGAATGTCTGTACGGTTTGATGTGATAATTTGATCAGGTAAAATATATTGCAGGACAAATATTTCATCGGTGTTAAGTTCCCGGAGCTGTTGAGCGATTGTCGCACAATCTGGACGTTTGTCGGGCCGTACGTCTAGTAAGCGATCGATTAGCGCACAAACGGCCTCATAATAGTTGCCGTGGTTTGTGTTATCGCTGTTTGAATGAAAATATATATAAAATCGTTATTTATTATAAAATATTTTTTAATAATTTTAATATAATTATCAAAAATTAAACCCAAAATGTCAATTAAGATTAATATTAATTTTAATCAAGATATTATATAATAATACGGTAGAAAAGCTCCAATTGTAATTCTAATTGTACAAAATTGTAAATAACTTAATATTGTACAATGTACATTATAATTGTACATGACATAAGATTTATAATAGTCAATATTATGAATATGTTTTGATTTTTCAAATATAAACAAATAAACTAAATTTTGAAATAAACAATTTTCAATAATTTTTAGTCTAAATATAATAATTTATATAATGTTTTAATAATAATTATTGTAAATTAACAAATAACCTAATATTGACAGCATAATAAATAGTTTGTGTTTTATTTATTTAGAAATTATGTGTATTAACTATTATAAAAATGTGAAATTTCAATTTAATTAAAATAAAATTTTCCACCGGGATTTTAAAATCCAAATAAATAACATATTAAATTCATAGTTAAATAAAATACATAACTTCAATATAAATTACAGTTTTTGTAATTTAATAAAATTTAAGTAAAATTAAGTTATTATTAACCTAATTACTATAATAATTAGTTTTACTTTATTATACATAACAAACCAATTAATGTGTAAATAAATATAATTTACTATAAATTAAAATTGTCTCAGTTATTGTATTCTATTAACACTAAAACTTTATTAATTAAATTAATAAAAACAGTTTTAGTTTTAAAATATTAATTGTATCATGTTTTAATGACTGTAAATGATTTTAAAAACTGATATTATCTATAAATAATGTGTAGTGAGTAAATAATTGGAGTATTGGAGTTACTCATATTTTTAATTAAAATATTATTGTAAATGATAATTGTTCATAATATCAAATTTATATTATTGGCTATTATAAATATGTTATGATTTATTAAGATATAAGCAGTTATTTAAACTAAATTTTTAATTAACAATATAAATCTTACCAATTATTGTTATGATGGTATAATTCATGACCGATAACACCCAGGCTGTAGATATCCGAAGATAAACTATATGCGCCGTTTGACTGCACTTCAGGTGCCATATATTTAATAGCACCGGAAGTGAAACTTTTATTAACAGTTTGTTCATCGGCGTAAGTAGAGTGACCAAAATTGCCAATTTTTACCATAATTCTATTAAATTCTAGACTATTAACCAGTAGTATATTGCTTGATTTAAGATCTCCATGAATAACAGGCAATGAATTAGTATGCAAATAATAAAGTGCTTGAGTTAGTTGCTCTAACAAATAATGTGATATGAAATAATGTTGGTCATTTAAATCCGTATTGTTGGCAAAATATTTGGCCGATTGGCGTAAATAGTCTCTCAATGTATGTGAATGTAAATCCATTTGTATGTATAGCACAAGTGGGCGCTCCGGTACGCGGCTGTCATACTCTAACCAATGGTACCGGTATTGTATTATATGGTCAACAGAGTCTAATTGTGCCCACAATTTAATCTCGGTTAGTCTTTTATCATAATCCAATTTCTCTATAAACGTATAAATCAAAATATTAATAAAGTTAGTAAATAAATAAGGCAATTAATTGATTTACTAGATTATTGCACATACCGTTTATTCTGTATTGTTTAATAGCATAAGCACTATGCAGTAGTTTATGTCGAGCCTTAAACACTGTACAAAACTTGCCCTGGGTCAACTTCTCAATACTATCTGGGTGAAACAGTGTGTGAAATAAATTATCCTCGATAGTTAGCTCAATAAATTTTGTCTCCACTTTCACCGGCATTAATGGCTTTTCATTGAAATTATATTTCATTTGTAGGAAATGTTCAATAAATTCTTGGTTTGGATTATATGTGCGGTTCGGGTCAATGATGTCGGGAATGGCATCTCTGACCACTTTGTAAGGTAGGGCCCACTCGTGTTTGGCACTCAATAGGGTCTCACACGTGGGCCGATGTGTGGGCTGACTGTCCAACAGTTTCCAAGTCGTGTCAATTAGTTTTGTGTATTTAATGCCATAGTTTTCATTCATACGACTGTAGGCACTGATAGAGTGAGTGAGAAAATTATTAATTTAGGTTTAACTTATTATTTATTCAGAAATATCGTATAAAATTGTTTATGCTAAAATACTGTACATTTTATTAAAAACAAATATTTTTATAAATTCAATTTATAAATATGTAATTCTTGGAACCCCTAACCAATACCTTATGTATTGTTTGTACTATAGTTCTTTATATTTATAATTTTTTCATAAATCATAATTTACAATATAGACTTTAATACTATGCTATCATTTTTGTTTATTTGAGAGAGAGAGAGAGAGAGAGAGTGAGAGAGAGAATAAATCAATATTTAAAATTAAACTTACATATCTAGATCAAAGTTAAACAACACCTGTACGACAGCACCCATACTATAGATATCGACTTTATTGTCAACACCCGATCCGTACATCACTTCCGGTGCCATATACTGGTCATACTGTGGTCCCCCCTTTGTCTGTGGCCTAACCGGTGCTTTCAAACCAATGTCTGTCAGTTTAACGCACCGAACGGTCGGACCTAAAGTTATAAGTATAGTGTCGGGCCGTATCTGACCGTGAGTTATAGGGGGCGCACAGGTATGCAAATAGTGTAGGCACTCGAGTGCGTCCAACAGTAGCTCAGATGCCATATAATAAGCCATTGGCGACAAAAGTTGATTATTTTTGTCCCCGAAATGGTGTTTAATTTTAACTATAGCTTCGGTTAACGACATTATATATGTGTCGGTTTGTATGTATAGCCTCAGCACCGGTAGGGTATGGACGCTGTCCGAGTCATATTGACACCAATGGGAAAGATATTTGATCACGTGTTCCGCATCTAATTGTGACCACACGTCCAGTGCGTGTTTCAGAGTTTTATAATCGTTGAGATCTAGGTCATAATTAATTTTTTAATTAACCTGTTTAAATATATAAATACTATATTAATTTACCATTAATTTGAATGCGTTTAATAGCGCTGTCTGTTTGGTATGATTTATGTGTTACTTTATAAACGGGGCCAAAATGACCATTCAATGTGTCAATTATGGTGAAACTATGAGCAAACTTATAGATTTCAATGGGAAGTTCAACCGTACTGTCATTGTCTACTGTTTCTGTCACTATTGTCTGATCCACTGTTTGATTGTCTATTATCTCAGCAATTGGTTCACTATCTATGGCTTCTTTGCCTAAGAGCTGATCCGAGGCTTCGGTTTCAATGGTTTGATCATTGAATTCATTGATAACTGTTTTAGCATTTAATTCAGTGTCTATTTGTTGGACAACTGTCTCACTCTCTGAACGCTTATTAATTGACTCATCAATGGTTTGAGCAAAAATTTGTTGATCATGGTGTATTTTGTCTGATTTTTGATGTGATGTTTTTATTGTGACCATTAATTCATGTTCATTGAATTGACCATCATTACTTTGTTCAATTTGCTGTTCACTATACAGTTTGTCTATTTGTTCAGCAACTGTCTCACTATCTGATGACTTATCGATTATCTCACTGTCTATCACGTGATCAATGGTTTTAATAATAAGTGGTTTATCTGTTATCGTATTATCCATTGTTACAGTATTTATTGTTTCATCATTAGCTTTGGCAAAAATGTGTTGATCATCGTTTACTTTGTTTAACTCTTGATCATTGGTAGTGTGGTCCTCCAATAATTCATCCATAACTAATTGCCCATCATTATTTTGATCGCATTGCTGTTCGCCATACAGTTTGTTAATTTGTTGATCGATATAATCTTTATCTAAATTCATATCAATAGATATATTATTCAATTGCCGATCAATGGCTCCCATATCCATGTGCTGACTGTCGGGCGCCGCGCTCTCCAATTCATAATCTGTTTTACCGATAACTATGTCAATCATATTAGTGGTTGTGTCCACACAAGGGGTGGCCAACTGTCCACTGCTTACCGACTCAATAGACGAGTCAATAATAAAATTCTCATCACTAATAATGCGATCCAATATTTCTTGTTTATCGATAGCATCGATGATATCGTCGTCCAAACCATTGATCACACTATCAATAGTAACACTACAGACGTCTGCATCGGTTAGCACAAGTGCCCTATCGATGGGCCCGTAATCTGTATAATCAGTTACCGGTTGTGCCACTGATTTTACTATAACCTCTTCAGAGACAATATCCGGATTGATAGCTATGGCCAACACAGCACTGGTCACGACTGTTGGATCAGTTGTTGTGTTTAATTCAACCAATTCTTTGCATACAGATATCCCATCCATCAGTTGATCAATACATGTCACCAACTCATCCACACCTCTACTCTCTTCAGTGGTGTCAGGTATGGCCACATCAGCACCAGTTGTTACCGTATTTGTGATCACATTATCGCTGATTAAAACCTTCTCCGAGTGCTCATCAATATTGTGGTTAATATAGTCGTCGAGCGATATCTCGTCGGTTCCCGGAGTCGACACGTCCTCCTCTTCGGCAATGATCTCATCGATGGACAGGTCTATAGTGCGGACCTCCGGTGCCCTCTCGGTCTCAGCCGTCAGTAACTGTTCATTAATCGCACGTTTAGTTTGTAGGAAATGCTCGCAAAACTGTTGCCATATATCATGTATGACCAGTGGGTCCGGTAGTTCGCCAGCGATAGCCTCCCGGACCGCCGCATAGGGTAGAGCCCACTGCCAGGCGTTGTTATATAGTTGATCACTGCGGGGCCGGACACTCATTATGGCGTCCAGACATGTGCGCCACATATCAATCACCTTATCGTATAATTCGCTTAATTCATGATCAGTTGTCCGTCTAATTAAATAAACAAGATCAGTTACAAAACCAAAAATTAATTAATTCGATTAAAACATAATTTTTAATTTTAATTTAACCATTTTCAAAGAGAATGACTAATCAGCCACAGTAGTTTTGCCACAGTAGACTTGTCCACAGTGACTTTTCCTTAGTAAATTTAATGTTTATTAAAAAACTAAAATACCACAAATCATGTATCTACAATAAACTATTTTGTAATTAATTTTTTTTAATTAATGTAATTAATTAATTTTGTAATTAATTTTTTTGTGTACATTTTGCAATTATATAATTTTGTAATGAAATTAGTTATTGTACATGATTTTATTTTATATTAAAAGTGTATTTTTATTTAGCCTGCAAAGGCACAAAGTCACTATGGACAAGTCTACTGTGGCAACTACTGTGACTAATTAGTCATTCTCATTTTCAAACATTATTTAAAAATATATCCCAGTAATATAATTTGTTCCATACTTTGTGCCAATAATATAGCTAAT